GGCTCTCTTGAAGCTCAAACGCGATGCATGAAGATACCTATTTTCTAGCGATGTGATTGGCCCAATGAAACGTAGTATGGTACATACCTTCCGGTACTATATATAGATAGGTCTCTTCCGTTGTGAGAACTAGGGTGCGCCCTTTCACTATACGTATGATAATCACTACTAGTATACAAATTATAAGTATGGCATTTGTATGATAAATCTTACTAAACATTACTAGTACTATGCAAATATTCATCATACTTCATCTCACTATACTTCAACATCAACATAACATTAAGTCGCCCGCAAGTTGAAAAGGCACGAAGAAACCGATGGATGTGCACGTAATCAAGAGCGTCAAAAGCAAAGGACACATTGTCAATTGCAAGTAATGCTGCTACCACCTGCTTCCAACCAATAAACAACGCTGGACTTCCCACCCTACCCATTGCATTGCAGCGCATCATATTCCACAACCCAAGCCAGTTGCAAGTGGCGCGTTTCAGTCCAAATCGACACAACAGCATAGCATCGTAGCACAACATTCACGACTTCTGGCAATATACAGCAATGGGTGGATCGAATTTCACTGCATGAGAAACTGGCCTTGGACAAGGCGTTTGCAAACGTGTTCTCCTCCTTCGGCGTGCCATTTCGACTCGCTGACAGCACGGCATTGGCAGCATTCCTGCATCTTGTGCGGCCAACCTACAATCCTCCATCCGAAAAAGCAATCGCTGGCAATTTGCTTCGTGATGCTCACGATCACATGATGCAAAACATCCACGAGTACCTGAACGACCAAAGCATCACCAGTCTCATGTCTGATGGGTGGACATCGTTACGGAACGATCACATGGTCAACTTTGCTGCAGCGTTTCCCAGCCAGGCTGCTAAGCCCGTCTTTCTCAACGCTAATGCTACTGCCGAAGCATCACAAACAGGTGAAACAATCGCGAACGACCTGGAGGCAGCTATGATCGCCATTGGGATTTCGAAAGTGGCGTCAGTAGTAACCAACAACGCAGTAGCCATGCGACGTGCCGGAATTGTGTTGGAGGCGAAGTACCCGGGACTTATCTGCAATGGCTGTGCAGCTCATGGAGTGAACCTGATGATTTAGGATGTGTGCAAGCTCGACAACTTTGCCAGTGTCTTGGGACGAGCACGGAACATCACAAGTTTTGTCAAAGATCGCAACGCGTTGACCAAGTGCTTTGAACGTATACAACACAACTTATACGATGGTATTCACACTACACATGCATGACACGCGTGTTGGAAAACCGCAAGGACCTCGTCCAATTGGTCGATTCAAGTGTGTTTAACGATATAAAGGATCCGCTACTGCACGTAAAAAGAAGACAGCGTTTCAAGCCACCATCGAGGACTCCAACTTCTGGACGGAATTAGAACGACTGGACGTTGGTTGTCCTACGCCAGACGTGCACCATCACTGGCAAGTTCGAGAGTGACACTTGCTGCTTGTTGGACGTGTACCGATTGTTCTTGGATCTCAAAAGGCAGTGGCATGGCGATACCCAGTTGTTCAAGCTGCTGATGGATCGTTGGGCCTTCCTCCTTACTGCATCCATGGGATTTTCAATTTTTTTCGACCTGACGACAAGAGCAGGAGAAGGTATGTTTGAAGAGGACTTGTACGACAACAGTCGCCTACTGCTCGACTACATTCTCGTCCTTAAAGCAATCACGTCGGACAATTTGGCCGTTCAACTGGAAATTACAGCTTTCATCGACGCAATAAAGAACCCGTCGGCAATGGCGCGATTGTTTATCGAAGAATGTGTCAGCCCCATGACATACTGGCATCAAGATGGCGCTACCAAGTTCCCTATTCTGTTCGTCGTCGCCCAACCTGTGTTCAGCGTTCCGACGTCACAAGCTGCATCAGAGCGTGTTTGGAGCATTTACGACTTCATCCTCACAAAGCGCCGAGACCGACTGAGCCCCCCTCCACACACACATGACAACGCTCGTGCAATAGTATATGAACGCGGACAATTCAACTGGAAGTCTGGTGAGCGTCATGATGGGAGAAGAAAGCGACGGAGGCGCCAGTAATAGTGATGAAGAGTCAAAGGAGTAAGCGAAACATATTTGCGTAATATATATTTTATTATTTGTTTGCACAAAGAATGTACAAATTTTACACTTAGGAAATAAATCTAATTCAACTAAATTCCCTGAAAACACATTTACAGTAACTAAATATTAATTACTAGTTGCGGACTTATTGATATGAATATTCGCATAATGTTAGGAATGCAATCGATAAATACCAATCTCATTTACACTAATCATTGGTGCCTTACCTATGTCCAATTTACCGGTTTTCAAATATTTCCCAAAACACAAATGCTTTTAGCCTAGACTACCAAGGCAAGGATAACCTGTGTACAATCTATAGACGAACGCTCGGTTAACCCAGCCTCGGTCTATATCCCCGTTGCGGAACTTTGCCATCAAAGGAACCGAGGTGTGGGATGGAGAAGTCAGGCCTTAGCAGCCCCCCGCGCCGAAGCCCTGGTTTAAGATAAAGTTTTGTGTTGATGGAATACAATTGAAAAGTGAGCTCATGGTCAAGGTTCATTGGCAGCGTCTGGTCCCACGAAGATGCGACCGTTGGAGTAGTTTTTGCATAGTGCTTTATATACAGAGAGAACTTAAGTGAGCACAACCGCCTTACGAAATTTCAAGAACGTCTGCATAGTTAATTCAAATGATAATTTCCTAACCTTTGGGTGAAAACACCATACACAATACAGTATACTGAAGTGTATGATTCATACACAAACAGTATAGTAAATTTTACTACTAGTATACGTATACAAGCGCACCCTAGTGAGATCTGTAAATATATTCGCACAAGTGAAATGATTGGTTTATGAGGTATTATTAGTGTCACTCTATAGTTTGCACCGATGTGCAGCATGAAGGCGCGGCCGTGTTGCCGCCGTGTGAGCAAGTAAGCTCATGTGAAACAAAAGACTTGGCATTTCTTAATCAAAATACATACTGAACTCCATAGTAGTAGTAGTAGTACTATGGAGATCGTTAGCGTTGATTAACACCCCTGGCCACCGGCCAAGAGGTAGCACGACGTGGATTCAAACATGGTCATCATGATGGCCGTGACGGAGACACAAAGGATGACGAACGTCAAGACGATGATCAACGCGCCTATGATAGGGTACTTTCCTCCGTGTTGGAGCATTTCCTTGACAGCGGCCTTTTGGGGTGGCAGGATCATCACCCAGAAGCATGCAAGGACAGTTGTCCCGTACACAACCAAGTACGAGTACGCGGCGTGGTTGCGGACTTCTGCCGTGTCAGTCTCAATGTCGGCTTTGGTCACTTTGAGCTGCGTCGAGTAGACGTTGGTGACCATTTTTCCAAAAGTCGAGGGGAGGTTGGCCACGGTCGTGAGCAGACCGTATATGAGCCCTTCGTTGCCATCTCCCGCCAGTTCCACAATCACAAACGTGGACACGACGAATTGGATGGCTTGCGGAACATCTGCGGTGAGAGGGACGCCAATGTAGAACCACTGGTGACGCACGATGTCATAGATGGTGAGGTACTGCACAATGGCATCAATGACGACGCCAGATAATGTCGTGATGACCACAATGTAGCGCCAGTTCCAGTGCGTGCCCCACCGGCCGACGGCGAAAACCGTGGTGGCTAAGATGATAAACGCGATCACGCGGACCACGGCGCTGTTGACGGGCTCGACGTGGGCCCAGTACACCAGGATGTAGTTGCCCGCCAACGATCCGATCTCGCTCGAGAGCAGGTTGAACATGAAGTAGAAGATCATGACTTGCCACACGGCGCGCTTCTGGATGAGTTCGTACACGTCATGAAAGTACGTGGCAAAGCGGATGGCGCCGCGCTTGCGGTCTTTCATGAAGAAGTACACCAAAAACACATTCACGACTACGGGCACCGCGAGGATCCCGAAGTACGTGTTGACGCTGATGTCAAACCCAAACTTGCCGCCGTAACGCTCCGAGCTCATAAGGAACCCAGACATTGCGGTGGTCAGTCCTTGGAAGACGAAACGTGTGCCGTAGATGGACGACTGCAGACGCCCACGCACGCATTCGGGTTCGCGTTGGGCGTATTCGACCACCAAGGCGTCACAAGCGACGTCGGCCATGATGTAGCAGAAGCTGGCCAGGGCGCAGAGAAGCACGAGGACCGACCCGTAGGACCTCGCGGCCTTGATGTTCTCGTCCGATCTGTCCACGATCACCGACGGACCCACCGGTTTCAACGCAATCACCACGAAACAGATCGCAGTCATAACCCATCCAATCAAAATGTACGGCTTGCGACTGTAGCCCATGATCGGCAAGCAGTCTGAGAGCATACCGTAAAACACCTTGAACGACCACCCCAAATTGACGAGACCGCTTGCAGAGCTCAGCGTGGCCGACTCCAAGCCAAAGTAGTAGGTCAGTACGGGCACGCCTATGCCAGGAATTCCGCCGTAGCAAATGCCCACCACGGCGTACTGGAAGAGAAGAGTCAAAACTTCAGGGGAGGTGTACACGAGCGGACCGCCTTCGCGCAGGGCGCCGTCCTCGAGGTCCAGCGGGGTACTTGCGTCTTTGAACGCGTCGACAGCCTTGTCGGCCTGTTTGGTGATGGACGCGATGTACGACACGCGTTCTTGGAGGAGATGATTGGCTGCCATGGTAAATCCAAAAGTGAGAAGCTCGAACGCTGAAATGGAACCAGCAACTGATAGAAAGGTTGAAGTAGTTTATTTTCATCAGATGTATAGACTAGCCACGTTGAAGTGGAAACTATGGGAATACGTTGAATAAATCTGGATACCGTTCAGCCAAGACTGAAAACCGTTCAAGCAAAAGTTCTTCCCGTAACCCTGTAACCCGAGGACTTCAGCCTACTCCCGCGTGCACATACTTCGAAGTATAAATCCCCAGGGTTAAGCGCATTACCAGTGGTGAGCTATCGCTAACCACGGAGATACGCTTAACCCCTAGTATGAGCTGAGGTGGTCAGAGTACAAAACATATGCCTCATATAACTAGAGTCTATTTGTTCTGAACGGTATCCAGATTTATTCAACGTTTTTCAGGGTAGTCACGTTGGAGTTCACATGAGCGAGGGACACTATTTTTTGGGTAATTGCCAATACTGTACTCCGGAGTACTAGTATGTGAGTGAGTATACAGTATCTTCGCCAAAATGTAAAACCTTCGCCAAAGAATATCGCACTTCACAAGTATTACATTGTAAATCCAATCTTTGGACAAAAGTACAAATTGTTGGAGCAAGATTGATTGGCACAGAATCTCTCAGTTATGCAGACAGTATTCACTTTCAATTCTACAGCGCCACCATGAGTCTTGCTCTTGGAATAGAATTTCGCTCAGGCTAAGGCTTCGTGGACTATGCTCTTTCCTCGTCCTCTTGACACGAGTTAGCTGCATTTACGGTACAATGTAGTGTATTACAGTACTGTTGAAGTTTTGAGTGTCACTCACTTTTTTCAGCCAATTAGCAGCAAATAAGGAAATACTTAAATTTCTATTGGTGAATTTTTATAATATTTCACGATATGATTGGATAGCGTAGTTCGAAATTCGAACTACGATATATAGCGCCTGCAATATGACAGGCGCTATTAACTGTAAATGTCGCGTATTTTGTTCTCTATTGCGCATTCGATTGCTACTTGATCATTAGACCTCAGAATCAAATAGTCAGCTTCCGCTCAAATAGTTAGACATATCTAATTTTACAGTAGGAGTATTGGAAGCAATAGAGTTACAGGGAACGACGGAATGGGAGACTTCCAAAACCGTCACAAACTTCTTTGAGTCGACGATTTTCATCCGGAATTATAATTCAATTCACCCGTACTTCTTTGCTGAGACGCAAATAGAGTCTCAGCAAAGAAGTACGCAAGGCGACTCAAATTATAACTTACAAAATTTATACCATACTATAAACAAATACAGTACCTTCATTGTGTTTGATGAAGTGGTGTGTTGACGGGGACTCGGACGCCGACGATGACCAAGCGCACGGATGGCTGTTAGACATGAGCTATCAGGATACAAAACTTGTTCCCCTGGCAAGTGTCAGAATATATCACGCATGCGAAGTGTCTCCATATGTAGCTCGAAGTCAAGAGGCTCTACCACTTGTACAATCAAACTGTAAAGGGAATGTATGGTGGTAGGAACATTGAGGCAGTGTTATGCGATATGAAGACCAAGGCTTATGTAAGGTCTTCATAGCTTATGTTTTGTGTGGTTGTGTGTGCTGCTGGGCAAGGATGTGAGGGGTTTGGAATGATGTAGCCTTGGCTTTCATTCCTGGTTTTACCTCGAACTGAGCTCTACCTTTGTGTGCGTGTTCTACCCCCTGCCCCCACCCCCCTGCCTATTCAACAATG